CTTACGACGGTTATGCCACTTTGTACGGACGAGCATGGGGCAACGGACCAAACAGAGACAGAGTCGTCGGTTGGTTCAATTTAAACGGTTAATCTTTCGATCTATGAGTGCAGGGGCAATCCCTGCACTCGTCCGTTTCCAGAAGTCTTTAACATCTGTACTTTCTCCCTTAGGTTTCGACTGCATGTCCTCTTTAGGTCGAAACAAGTTAAGTACTCAGCGTTGATTTGCTTTGTCGCAGTAACAGTGATGTACACCTCAAAAAAGCATCAATGAGTCCATATCCTCTTAGTCTAGCCTATATGCTCTACGATGGTATCCAAGCTTGATACTGTTGTATCTTTAGGGATAGCGCTTGCTTGCGCAGCAGCCCTCATTGTTGGCTCTATACAGTTTAAAAACGGTCTTACCGACGTCAACTCAAATATTGAAGCGCTGGATACCCTTCCCTACAACCCATCATATGTAATCGAAGAAAACGCACAAACCCACAGCGGCAATGAAATTAAAACTGCTTGGAAAGAGGCAGGCGAGGAATTCTCCAACCCAACGATTGCACAGATGTCTTTCCAAACTAGCATGCAGCCTCATGACCCTGGCATCCTAGCAGATCTCGTTGTCGTAGGTACTTATATGGGCCGCAGTATATATCGCTATAGAGGCCTTATAAGCGATGTAAGGATCGACAAGATATTAAAACCCCTAGCCGATACCTCAAAGTTAGCAATCAGAGAAGGAAAAAAAGAGCCAAGTACATATAAGATACCCCCTCTTAATCTGCAGGTAGGAAACGTCATCAAGATCTACACCGAACTTGCTCTTCGAGCTACGCATAGCGGCAACAAAGAAATAGCGACATGTCCTATTGTTTCTTCACCATATACAGAATCGAGTTATTTTCCTCCGCTTAGACCAAATAGACAGTATCTATTTTGTCTAAGCTATGCACCAAAATCCAACGCCACTAGCGCAGACACGGCAAGATTCAGAATTGTTCCAAGCCTCTACGAAAGAATCCCCATTTCAAACGCAAAAACTTTTGAGCCAAACATCTTTTGTGCTAACCTTCCGACAAGAGGCACCGCAAAAAGCGGCACAGCAAAACCTTTCGGTGTTGACTCACCAGATGTACCTAATGAGGAGTTCAATCGTCGCTATCAGAAAGCATACGAAAAGATACCAAAATTCACCTATCACGAAGCAGCTAACATTGATTTCTTCGTTGACTCTCCCAGAACCGAACAGCCCTATCGTGGCACAGCGACAAAAATATTTCAAAAGTATTTATGTTCTGCTCTTATAAAACAAAACTCTTCTACAGAAAAAATTAAAAATTGTTCCCAAAAGGCATCGTAGCTTACAGACTCCAAAGACCCTATTCGGTGAATTGTTTTCTAAAGAGCGTGATGGAAGTTTTTTATGTAAAGCTTGGTAAAACATTTCCCATGAGTGCTTATCCAAATGTTCTCATTACAATCTTGAAAGTGATACGATGCATTAAAATCAAGTTAAATTGTAGTATTCACCACTAAATTTACTGCAGTACTGTCACTGCGGGATACAGATGGTGCTGATATCCAGTAAGTTTATCCACGTAGTGTCACACTTTCTTCACAACTTCAATACTTTACATTTGAATAGACAAAATAGATTTGTTACCATCGACCCGACACTGAAAATTGACTTGAGATTGCTGTGTTGTTTCGTTTTCTTGCACTTGTT